CAACGCTGTGAAGACCAGACTGGGCTGCCAAGAACCCCAACAGCCTGCACCACCATGGAGAGCATGGACTTCGGCCAGTGCCACAGCTTCTGAAGCACATCCCCGACTTCATGAAATCACAAGCAAAATTCTGGGAAAATTGTCTTCAGCAGTTAACAGGAACAAGCCAGGGCTCAAGGAAGCTCAAAACACTTTAATAAAGTTCCTAAATTGCAATTTAGGGATGGGAGGATGTGGTGGGGCTGCTAAGACAAGTGCAAAAGTGTTATATGAAGACAATACAAAAGCAGCTGTATTAGACAGCCTAATAAGAAGTGAGAAAAAGAAAGTCAGCATTTGCACAGAGCCCAGCTACAGGCAATAATCCAATTTACAGGGAAGCAAGAGGCTGATGGTGACCTTGCCAAAAATCCAGCTTGCCAAAAATAGTACTGACAAATGAGTAGTGCAAAAATAAGGAGCTAATCAGCAACAATAAGAAGGAGAGAGACAGAAAGTTTGTCTTTCTGCAAAAGGTAAATTATGCACCATAAGAATGACATCCATCCATTTAAAACCAGAATAGCAATCAGTTTCCAGGAACTTGTAAATCAGTGAACAGCTAGGAAAAAAAAAATTAAGATTACTCCATTTTTCCCAAACCAGCCTTAATGTTATGATAATTAACAAGTTCTTCCTGTAAATACCTGCTGCTGCACTTTTCCTCCATTTGTAGTTTAATTGGCTGCAAAAGCTGTGTGCTCAGCCCTCCTCACCAGCACCCACTCTGGATGGAGACCTGTATCATACTCTGATGGCCCCCACTGAAGAGGTCAATGCCACTCGCTGGGGGCATGGAGATAAGCAGCGAATGGGCAGTGCTTAAGACTGTCCCCATGCAGTCCTGTGGCACCCTGCAGGCAACTCAGTCAAATCTCACCTTCTGTGCCCTCAACATTGAGGAATAGATCAAGTAACACTCATGTAGACTGAGGAATACGCATGATCATCTGCCTTTCTCCTCATCTAGAAATGATCCTCCACTGGTGTCACCAACTCTGGTTTGTAACCAAATAAGCTCAGACTGGAGATTTGGTACCTTTTGGGATTATGAGAGTTTGCTTATCTCACAGTCCTCTGCAAGATTAAGTGCTGGGCAGTCATTACAGGCATTGTTATCTCAGCACACAACGGACTTGAGAAACCTTTAAGGCATGAGTTAATTCAACTTCTCTATGAGAGATGCCAAAAATCATCCACCAGGTGTAGACTTTTTATAACCAGGAAGATCAAAGATCCAAAGCAGTGACCAAAGCACGAAGAGGTGACAAAACCTAATTCCCTCCAGGAACATCGTTAGCATTCAGGAGAAGTAGTGTGTTCCCCTGAGGATCTTACATGGGTTTCTCACTGTTAAGCTCTGTCCAGACTAACTCAATTTTGTTCACAAGGTAATAATTTCCCCACACAATGGGGACATCTAAGTCAGCTGCTTAATGAAGGTTTCTGAAAGAAAGCAAAGCTGGGACTGGGACAAGCAGCACAAGGTCCTGAGCTTGTGCCACTTCACCATCTGGTGAAGCACCTCCTCTGCTCAGGACTGCCAAGCCCCTCACTCAGAGAGCAGCATATGTTCCCTCTAACTCAGAGAGCTCCAAACTGAGTGTGTAAGTTGGAACTAGTTGCCCCCAAAGCAATTATAGAGGCAACAGAGATAAGCAGGTGACTCCAGCTGGTGACTCAGCCCATCCTAAAATGTTTGTCCAAGAAAGGTCAGATAAATTACAGCCTGAAGGTGCCCATTTCTTCCTACAAGATAGAAAGGAAGCCCAGGGTGACCAGCTGAGATCTCGATGTCCTGTCCTGGATGGACACCGGACATTAGGTGAGATGCTTTCTACCCAAGCACCTGGTAGAAAGCTGCACATCCGTGTGTCTTTCCTGCCCATGTACAGGGACGTTGCAGGAGTCAGTGCCCTGACCACTGGCAAAGGAGCAATTTATTTCTTCTAACAGGACACAAATCACTTTGTTATGAACACATTACCAAAGCTTGTCACTACTGCTAATCCCCTCTGGAGCTCGGCATTGGGGTCTTCATAGACCCTCTCCTGCCTCTTAAAAAATATTACATGAAAACACAGTGAGGGAGACAGTGAGGAGAAAAGGACTGTGTCTGAAGGTGCAGAAGCATGAACATGTTCCGCAGTACGGAGCTGAGGTGTTTATCTGTATATAGTTGTGAACCTGTCAATAAGTGGAAGCAACTTGCTGTCTGCACATACTCCTATTAATGGACACTGTCCCTCTTTTTCTCACCTGGTCCTTACACATGCAGTCCTCCCTGCACCACTGAGAGCCAGCCCTTTAACTTCAACCATGAGAGGAGATTTGCCTCAGCACCTTGAATCCCAAACAGCAGAAGAAAATACCCCTTAATTTAAGCCTTTGAAGTAAACAGTCATCTCTGGTAGTTGGTCTGGTGTTGTCAGAGTGAAATACAAGTTGAAAGATAATTCATCTTTTATGTAATTGGGTGCCAAATCACTTAAAGACCTATGAACTAGAGTGACAACCTGCTTCTTGGGTCCTGTTGCAAGAGGTAGACCTTACCATAACCTTCCCTTTGCTTTACAATAGTGCTCCTACAATTGCTCTGTAGAAGTCTGCTTGCACCTGTCTTGTTAGATTACCTAAAGATTCCCGTATTCTGCCTGAAAGACTGCAACAAATTGCCCTGCATCAGAGATGTCCAAGACAGAGGAAAATGTGTTTCCAGACACTCTGGCCACACAACTGAGACTAGACCTGATTTTTAAACAGGCTCTCCACCTCCTGTGCCAGCAGATCACTTGATACTGGCATGTCTGTTCACACTGTGCGCAGATACGCATCCAAGTACCAGCTTAAGCTGTGGCACAAGCCACCAAAATGCTGCTTTTGGCAACGTACTTGCTTGCTATGAAGCAGCTAAAAACCTGTCTTATTTGACCATTCAAGAAATTAAGAGGGACCTCACTGTTCTGTGGAGGAGATGTGGCCCCGCTGCCAGCTCCATTCACTCCTGTGGCCCCACCATGACGTCTGGAAGGAGGGACTGTCCTTTATTGATCAGCACTTTGTAGCAGAGGCCTGTGAGTATTCCCTCGGACTATGAGCTGGGACTCACGTTTCTCAATGTAATCTTCTTGTCCACCCCTCCCAGGCTATGATTGCAAGCAACATTTCAGTGACGGTGCAGAAACAGGCAGTTCTCCCCAGAAGTAGTGTCCCCCACAGCCTGAGCACTTGCATGAGTGTGACACCTCTTTCCTTTCTCTCCCCTTCCATCACAGTTGAGGACATACCCCTGACCTCCCCTCATTTTCTCTGGGGCTATATCACTGAGGCAGGGCCCAAATTTTTGAGCTGCCAGTCGATGGGACAGTCCTGCTGGAAGCAATTTAATGGTGAACTGCAGGTGTCCCATCAGCTGGTCTGTATGCAAGACAGTGTGGTGGTTTCTAAGCTGGGCAAGATGCAAAAACAAAGCTGAAGAAAGCAAATGGAGAGGGTACTGCTGAGTTGACATCAATTACCAATAGCTTAAAACAAAGGAGGGAAATCATTAGACATCCAAACAAAAAGGCAGTGCAAGGACAACGTGTAAAAATCCTAGGAGACGCAGGAGCAGGACCAAGGTGCAGAAGTCAGACCTTCCTCACCTGCCTGCAGTGGTCCAGCTGACCGGCACCCACCGGGTGATGGAGCAGGGCTGGTGAGGGTATCAGGGCTTAGCCTCACAGCATGCTTACCCCAGCCCAGTCCTCAGCACATGACAGTAAGTTACTGCAGTAAGTGTGGTCCTGCTTTCAAGTCTCCAAGTCCAATGGAAGACTTCAGAAAGACAGCTCAGACTCACAAAGCCACCCAGGGTCTTCTGCTGCACAGAGGGAGGCAGTGCCCTTTCCCTCGCCCTGTGATACCACTAGAAATACCAATGCTCCTCCAGGCTAGAGAGCTGATAGCTCCATAACCACACAGGATTGCTTGCAGGCCAAGACGTGCTTAATACCTGGCCACAAAGAAGAGCTGGTCTAGAAAGCCCACCAAAGTCTACAGGAATTTTCTTTCCTCAGCGAGCTATAAATAAGACACTAAGCAGGCTTTCCTATACACACTGCATCCTAAAAGTGCCGTTTATCAGCAAATAATAATCTCACTTGAAATCAGTAGGATTATTCAAGTGTACCAAAACAAGGCAATTTGAGAAGAAGTAGGCCTAATTAAGGTACAAAATGATGAAGGTAATTTACAAATAACCAAGGTGGAAGGGGATGTGCTGTTCTGGTGGGCGATGTTTACTTTATGGTTCTGTTATACCCTGAGGCAACAGATGGGTTCTCTTCTGAGGAAAGGCTTTAAACAAGGGAAAAAGACAACAATTTAAGTGGGAATGTGGGACTGGGAAATGGAAACAGCAAGAATGCATATATATGTCACATACAGTGTGATTTTCTGTGTCCCATTGTCTTTCATAGGCCTGTCTCACCTGGGAGGCTACATTTTCCATGATCCACTGTATACCCTATATGACAGAGGGAAGGCTGGTGCATGGCAGAAGACAAAGTTCAGCCATTGAATTTGGCCAGCCATAAGAAAGGGACAACCGGGGATCCACATTCAGCTCACAGTTGGGACCCTCATTTTCAGGAAGTGCCCATCCTTCTGAAAAGTGTGGCAAACATAAGGTGCCTCGCAGTGTGAAAAGCATGAATTATCTTTTGAAAATCTAGGCCTTATTATCAGAAACTTTGGAAAAAAATGCTGAAAAACATGTTTTCCTGACACCAGGCTAATTCATGACAGTCACTCACACTGTATAATCAGAAGGTAAAATACATCTAACTAATGTAAGAAAGTTTCAGAATAACACAATGTCCCTCAGATGTCTTCAGGCTCTACTGGGATTTTATTACATTCCCTGAAACAAGGAGAGAGGCTTTCCAGGAAGTTGAACTAGCAGTTCTTAGCACCAAGCTTCACATCTCTCCAAGCTGATGATCTGTGACCAGCTTCTGTCCTGCTTCTTCATACATTGGGGAACTGATGGCAATGAGCTCCTTTTCCAATATTTCCATTTGAGCCTTGATGTCTGACACAGTGTTTTTCACAGCATTCAGCTGCAGCTTCAATTCATTGTATTCTTCTTGGAAGGATCTGCCCACATTGTAGAGAATGCGACAGCCCTGTTCCTCCCCAAGGAGATGGTTCTCTTTCAGGAAGATGTGGAGGAGTTGGTATAAGTCCTGGAGAGCCCAGAGGATTTCATACTCACCCTGCATGCTTGGGGTAGACTTGATCTTATTCTGGGTTGGAGTGGTGCTTTTCTCTTTAGCTTCATGTTCCTGCTGGGGAGCTGGGCCAGGGTTACCTTCTTCCACAGCTGTGATGGTGTCAGCTTCCTGCCGAAGATCTGAGCTGGCATCTTTGCTCTCTTCGTGGACTGTGATGGCTTGTTGGTCTTTCCAGATGATGGGTACTGTTTTATTCTCCTGCTGGAAATTCTGTAAGACTCTGTTCTTTTCCTGGACTGCCTGGAGAGCTTTGTTGCCTGGGCTGACCTGAAAGCCTACGTTCCTCTCTTGGAAGAATGGGAACGGATTATTTTCCTTGTGGAGGCTTTGCTGAATGGCATCAGTGTAAATAAGCTGGATGGCTCTGTTCTGTGACTGGAGACATTGCAGAGATTTGTTTTCTTCCCAGAGCATCCTGTTCTCAATCCGGAGGACTTGGTTTTCCTCCCAGAGTGCTCTGTTCTCCTCCCAGATGCTCCACTCATTCTGGTCCTTCTTGTTAAAGAGTTTCCGGTGGGAAGCGACGGGTGGCTGGCAGTAGATCTCATTCACCCACTTACCGTCAACAAAGACAAACATGTCATCCCTCATTTTCATCCGTGGGGTGATACATGCTATCTCCGGCTCTGTACACTGCATGCCCTGGTTCGTCAGATCAAAAGCAGACATGGCCTTTCTTTAGTGAATTGAGTAAGATTGTGGAAAAGACTTCTTCCAGGATTTCAGCAAGAGGCCACTGTCCACTGGCAAGGAGTAGGTGACACAGCAGGGATAGAGAAGTTTGATCACAACTGAAAGAACAGGGAACATAAATGCACAGAGTTACTGCCAAAATTCAAGGTCGGAATTAAAGTCCACTGGATGACAGGAACAAGCAAATAAGTCAGTTCCCACAGGTGACCTTGTTGCTCCTTTGACTCTGGAAGGTAAGGAATGCACCAGAAACAGAGTTTATAGAAGCTGAGAAAATTGGCATTGGTAGATAAAGCAGCTCTATGGCAGCGCCACAAGCTTTGGTATAAAAATCTGGACTCTCCTTCTACCTCTCTGCCTCATTTTTACAGACACATGAGGGGGTAAGATGCGAGAGTATCTGCACCTCAGAATAGCCCATTCCCAACAGAGTGACAGAAAAATGAATTGAGAATTGTTATGAGGCTGAAACCAACTTTTCAAAAGAAAACGTCTTTAAAGGATGACACTGAAAAACTGTCCTCAGGAGCAGCTTTTTCTTGTTGATGCTCAGTAACCTGTGTTAACAGGCCACCACAAAAATGTGGTGGCAGTTGTGCTTTTTAATCTTAAAATCCACAGAACTGTGAACAGGAAGAGCAGAAAATGATACAATATGCACAAATAATTAAAAAAACATAAATAATAAAAAACCTCAGCCCCGGAACACCAGGGCCCTGAGAGCTCTGCTGCTCTTTGCATGTTTTTCTGACAAGTTCCCATAACCATGGCCCAAAAATTGTCACAACCCATAGGTAATTCTCCACCTTTCATTCTCATTTCTCCCCAGTCACACTTTTCTTTATATCTTTTGATAGCTCTATTAGTTTTCTTGCTTTCTAGGCTTGCAATAGTGATTGCTCATCTCTTTCCTACAGTCTGTCTGCCTCTTTTTCACATCACCAGAAAACTCATCTCTTTAAAATCCATACTGCTGGGCTGTACCTCCAATGCTTCTCATTTCAGTCACAGAAGCCTCAGACTTATCTGCTCAACACCCTTCCTTCCTTCCCTCTGCCCAAAATGTCACTGCTTAAATTACCTTCTAGTCATAAGTAAACCTGGGCAAATGAAGGATTTTGGTATTTTTACATGAAAAAAAGAAAAAAAAAAACACCAAAAAAGTGTGGTTCATGCCAAAGAAAATCTTATTTTTTGCAGTTTTTACCAAAATTAAATTTGTGTGATTTTCAAGATTAAGTCATTTGAACTGAGGATGAACTATTTTTATAACCAAATTGTCAGTGTTTCTAACAGCACAAACCCTTTTTCTAGTTTTTTTTAAAAAAAAAGAAGTTGGCCATCAATTTTCACCCAGGTTCACCCCTTTCTCCCCCCCTCAAGATCCCTCAGTTGCTGTCCTGTTCCTTGTGAAACCCAGTTCTGCCTTTCCACCAGGCAGGAGAGATTTATCTTCACTAATTTTGCCTCCATGTCTCTGCCCTGAGCACTAGGCACGGGATGACAACGCGCATAAGCCCCTCATACCTTCCGGCTCTGCCATCACATTGAGCACCCCCTGTCCTATTTTCACCCTCTCCTTTCCAAAACCTGCTGCTCCCCTCTTTCCCCGCCGTCTCCATCACACAGCACTACATCTCCGGGCTGGGCTCCTCCAGGTTACTTCTGAGAGCAAACATCCATAGATGCTTCCTTTGCCTCCTTCCCAAGTTTGTCCAAAAGCTCAGCGAATTCTCAGTCACATTCACAATCCAAAATCCCTTAATGCAGAGGCAGGCCATTGCAATAAAGTAACACTTGATTTTACTGTATTAGTGTCTCCTTCCGACTTTCGTGGTTGTCTTCTGCATCACCGTCTGGTTTATCTCACATCAGACTTGTGTTTTCATAGTATTGTTCTTCTGCTAAAAGGGATTTTCGCCAAAACTCCAAGTTTTGGATTTTTTTGTTCCCACTTATGCCATGTTCAGAGATGTATCTCTCTCCCTCCCTTTCACCATCTCCCTCTCAGCCTTTCCAACCCATCCCGTTCCCTTGGGGTGCCCCAGTCCCAGAGTTTCCACTGTCAGCCCCAGGATGGGGAGGTAAATCAGCCATGGGGATAACTGACCCCTAAACATCCAGATAAGAAGCAGAAAATGTGCAGCATCATAAGCCCAGACCCACCTGCCCCTGCGTATCATGGGCAGGCAGCTAGAGTTGTTAAAGTCACTTATATTTAAAGTGTTTATGTGGCACGTTTTCAGGAAAAAAACAGAAACGTATAATATATACGGCATTGAAGGACATTATCTTGGGGACAATTAAATTTGACAGCATCTCTGTCAGCTATTTTGCACTGCAGGGGAGACATCGACCCAGGCTTCAGGGAGGCGCTTCCACTTCTCCCACCTCCCCTACCATTTCCCCTCATCTCTGAACTGAATAATCCTGGGATATGTGGGGCAGGTGGGGTGAGTGGGCAGGGCAGCCAGCTGAGGGGAAGCCTCACAAAATCGAGCTGGGCTGGGTAATTTGGCAGTGCTAAATTACACCCCGGGATGTGCTCACCTGCTCGCCGGGGCTGGTCGTCTTCCCTCTCCCTGCACCCCTGCCAAGCAGCTCAGCCTGAGGTCCTGCTGCTGCTGGGGCGTCTGGGGCGGCGTAGGTGGCAGCAGGGGACAGAGGGAACCCACTGTGATGCAAGCGCTGGCAGGGACCTCGCTGCAGAACCAGCCCCCCACTCCCCTCACCGGGGCTGGGAGCTCCTGCGCACCTTCCTCCTCCTACATCCCACTTCTGCGCTCCTTCCCCGCCGGCCGCCAAGGACTGTCTCTGATTTTTCCCAGCGTTGTGGTTTTGGGTTATTTCTCATGGAAATGACCTTCCTGGTAGCTCAGCTCTCATGCCCTTTCCTGAACCCAGACTTCCCGATCTGCCTTTGATGCTCATAAGTGAGAACAGTTTGGGTGGATTCTTTCTCCATCACACCCTCCTAAAACAAATTTCGTTTTTATTCCAAATCTTTGAATTATATTTGTTGCTGAACTGATACCGCTACATTCAAAAATCACTTCCTTGTATGCACTATGAGACCTGAAGTGATTTTCCAAGGACAGAGTGGGTTTGGAGTTTTTCCCTAGCTATAAGGTTAAGAGCAGACTGCCACTGAACCCTATTAAGAAGAAAATAGAATACGCAGGGCGTTCATGCGTTGCAAGTTTAGATATTATTTGTAGCAGCTATTCCCACTTCCATGTCTTTACATTTCTAATGATCTCATTCTCTTTCTTATTTGCTACATCTTTCAGATGTGGAATTATTTTTTTTTTTTCTAATCAGGGTTCTTGAATAATAAATACAGCAGTTAATTTCTTTTCCAGTGAAAATTACCAACTTGACATCAGCCTCAAGGTGACTGTTATTGCTTTAGGAAGTTAGAGGTACAGTTCAGCTTTGGTGTTATGCAAAGATGATAAACTCAGGTGTAAAAGTCTTCTCTGTAATTTCTCCCTTGCTTATATTTAATCTCAGACAACAAAAAAACATCACAGGTAACTATGGCAACTCCCCAGGGAGTGTTCTCCTCTATTCGAGCTCCAGGATCCTGCAAAGGAAAGCAGGAAAATGTCCTCAAAAGAGAAAGAAAAATATATTAGCACGGGGTGTTTGTGCTTGGCCTTCCATCAGCTAGGAATTTAAGGGTGCTGCCCAGGTGCAGCAGTTTTCAGGAGAGGTGACTTGAATGGCTGATCTGAACTTCTGAAGAACTGAGGCTGTGGACCACTGAAACAGACCTTTGATGAACATTTTAAGGTCTAAAAGCTGACTGGAAACTGCGTTAATAGAGACAAGTGCAGCATAGGACTGATCAGCAGACAAAGCCTGCTTAATCCAGAGCAACTGAGAACTAACTTAGCAGTGTACCTTTGCCTTTTCTTATGCAATAATTTCCTTAAAGTTGGATAAAGTTGTTTTGGCAAGTCATTTATTTGCTGAAAATTATGACTTCAAGTACTAATATATTTGGATCAAATTTAGCAAGTATCATCAGATGTGTATACACATATATGGAGACATACATCAGAACTGGAAATAACACAACAGCTCACTGCAGATTTTTTATAGCAGCTACACTGATTTCTGAGCTGGACTCTCAAAAGGACTGAGATGTCATTCACAGGGTTACAAAGGCAGAAATAATGCTGAGTGTGTTCCCCTCCCTGCCAAGAGACAAGTAACCCCTGCTCTGTAAGAAGGGTTTGAACTGACTTCCCAGCTGAGTGCTTTGTCCACAGCTTCAGACTACTCAATTTCTCCAGGTGAAGCTATTTCACTATACAAAGAATTAAATATTAATTGGAACCAAAGCCATGTCCCACATCCTACCTGGACACCTTACACCAAGCTGCTCAGCTGACCTTGCTGTCCTTATTCTCGGTGATTACCGTGTTCTGGAAAGGATCCAGAGGGAGAGAGTGGATGATCCCACACACATATACAATATTCTCCAGTTTGGAAACTCAGCTCCATGTTGGGCTGCAAAAGGTCACCATCCAGTGATGGGTTGGAAACAGAGGGGAGAGCGAGAGCAGAACTGCTGCCATGAAGATCTTGCAGGAAGGACCCGGGAGACCCCATCCCATCCTCCTCCTCATTAGGAACAGTGGCATGTACCTACAGTAAATCTGAACCCTTTCCTTCCTTTGCTTGACATGTTAAAGCACCTGCAATGAGAATAATCTGCGTTTTTTTTAATAAGAGCATAGTGTTTCTTTGAACTTGGAGCATCTTTTTCTCTTTTTCTCTTTTAAAAAGTCTATTATACTCCTGAATGTTTATTTGATAAAACCAAAGGTGTCCACTGCCACTTTCTACCACCCCAATTACATTTGTGCTTCTGAAACACCAGCCTTTGCTCGTGTCAGCACAGACTGGTCTCACTGCGCGCTCATCCACTGCTCTCCACTGCGTTAAGCCTGGATGCAAATCCCACT